GTAACTAGAAAGCTATAGCTATGTTTTTATCCTGTTATGTAACCCTTTCTAATTTCCTAGTAAACTTTTAGCTAATTTACGCGTGTGTACTGTGTCATTGTGTTTTACTCTGCTAAATATACAGCAAATGTACAAGAACTGCAAGGTGAATTTTTGTTGCCTGAAAGCAAATGAAATATTTGATTTAGCCGCATAGAAAACTTTTATTTCCAAGTTTATTTCTAAGTTTAGATTTTGGAAATTGACTAGATTTAAATTATGGTTTTCTACATAAAGACTCATTCTTGCTGGTATAATCTTTATATTTATAACCAGACAAAGGTTCAGTTTTAGAACAACAACTTTTCAGATTAGTTTTAGCTATATCAAAAATTACTGATTTGGTTATACTTTTAGAAATGTGAGGTGAACTATCTCCAGTTTGAATTTGTGTCTCTGGCGATCACATGCCTCTTCTTCACAGCAAAAATGTTATACAATAAATATTTGTTATTATTACTGCATGTTACTGTCATTTTGATACAGTTGTTTGGTGTAGTGGTTAGGAGCATGGACTCTAATCTGAGAGAACTGGGTTTGATTCCCCACTTCTCCACATACAGCTGCTGGCGTGACCTTGGGTCAGTCACAATTCTGTCAGAGCTCTTTCTGAAAAGGGCAGTTCTCAAAAGAACCCTCTCAGCCCTTTAAAGTTTAAACTCCCCCTCCGAGCCTGTATTTGGCAATGCTTAATAATGCCGAATAAAAGCCAAATAGTTTCAGCTTTTATTCTGCATTCTGTATTTGGCAGCTGAATAAGATCAGAGATTCTGATTCAGCTTGCCGAATACCCGAAAAATGCCGAAAAGAATTTTTTTTCCCAGTTTGGGTTTACCGAATGCATACCCCTAGTCCTAAGCAAACTAATTAAGAATTAGCATATACAAACAGGATAACTCTTTCATGACATCAGGAGGAGAACTTGCAAATATCCCAACAACTGTGAATAATTTTGTTCAGTGACCATTTTTGTTGTTGTTGTTGTTCAGTCGCACAGTCGAGTCCGACTCTTTGCGACCCCATGGACCAGCTCCCGCCAGGCCCTCCGGTCTTCCGCCATCCTCTGAAGTTTGCTCAACTATTTTGTATGATTTGGGCTGTATACATTACATTGGCAGTGATTCCTTCAGCTATAGCTTTTAATTGCTTTGTTGTGTAAATGAAAAGGTCTGTGAAAAATCCTCTGCTGCCAGATGAGCAGGCAGCCATAGCATGTGCAGCCATTTATTGCTACAAACTTTATCCATTCTGCTGTTTTGGGGACATAATGACCATTTTTCTGAATTTGCCCAGAAACTAGAAGGGTGTGAATCACTTTCCCAATGCTGACCTCTGCTTTTATTCTTCCCATGCATACATTGCTATAATGTGAGCATTGGATAAGCTATGAATAGAAAATCCTTTTTTTGTTCCTGCACTATTAAAACCATGGACAGAAAAAAAAGGCTTCCTGTCTTATTCCCTGGTAAATATTCTGTAAGAATAGCAGAAAACCCCATCACTGGAAACTGACTAATCCAACCAGAGTTGTCAATTTTACTTGTTTGCCTTTTATTTCCAAGTTTAGATTTTGGATTGCTGGAGAGTTGCTGTTGTGCTAAATGCAAGCTGCCTTGGTCCTCTTGGTGTACCCTAGTATTGACCTTGGAGTGTGGAGCAGACTGTCCTTGCTGAGACATAAGCTTTATTAAAAACCTGTCCATGTTAAAAGCCCAAAATACGAAACATTTTTGAATCTTCTGAGGATCAATGAAATATCTGTTGTGGGGATAAATGGCATACAGACCATGTAAAGTTCTGCAAGTTTCTTGAAAGAGAAGTGGAAGAAAAATGCAGTAATAGCTAATAAAACTATAAATGTCAACACTAATACACAGGCAAAAAGCAGGACAAGGGAAGTGAAATAGTGTCTTCTGAAAAACAATGCCAGCAGACTGTTGCCATGCTCTACCAACATATTCCTATATGAATTAACTTGAATAAGAATAAAAACAGCAAAAGCCTCCCTCAAAATGCTGTAGATTAATAACAACTTTATAACAAACCAGTTCTCTGGCAGTAGCTAGAAATCTGAAGAACTCTCAGTGCCGTCCTAGCCTAAAAACTTTATTAGCAGTGCAGCTTCTCTTCCTGTGCTCTGCACTCTTAAGTCTATAGGCTGTATCAACACTCAGTTCTTCTCTTGTGGGCTCTCAAACATCTTAGTTGCTGGGATCTGGCTTTTATCCCTTCTTCTCTTCCCCCTCATTGGGGAACATAACTCCTCCTCTCACGATGTTTTCAGAGTCTGGCAGCAGATCTAAAGCTGCTAACTGAATTTGCTGCTTGATTCTCGCTCCCTGCACTTCATGAAGAACAGAGTCACACTAGGACTGTGATCCTAGGCACAATTACTTGGAAACAAACACCATTAAACTCAGTAGGGTTGATCTCAGAGCAAAAAAGCTATAGAATTGGGCTGCATGGCACCCAGCTACTATCTTCCTGTTTGTTTGTTTTTCCAGAAAGTAATTGTTGCTAGGGCCAGACAATTCTTGGATGGGGCAGTTTCCATTTCAGCCCTAGTGTGGATACAGCTCTGAGCAAAATCTGTATATGCCCTGAGGTAAAAACAAGTAATTGTGTAAAGTGCTGTCAAGTTACAGCCTATTTATGGTGATCCCAGCAAGGGGCTTTCAAGACAAGTGAGAAGTGGAGGTGATTTGCCATTACTGTCAGCTCAGTAGAGCAGGGGTGTCAAACATGTGGCCCATGGGCTGGATCAGGCCCTCGGAGGGCTCCAATCCAGCCTGCAAAGACCTGGCTATTTTCTGCTCCATTTTCCAGTTCTGCTGCTGCTGCCATGTCACAGCTTGCTTTACTAGACTCTCTCAGTCACACAGGAGAGATATATAGGCAAGCCTCTCCTGTGCGACTGAGAGAATCTGGTAAAGAACTGGCTGAGGCTCCTCCCCCTCCGGGGGGGGGGGGGAACAAGCCAGAGCCAGGCTGTCTCAACCCTACAGGAGAAAAAGGGAAGCCTTCCTTCCCTTCCACTGGATGAGGTGCCTCCCTGAAGGGAGGGAGGGAATGAGGGAGAGCTTGCTTTGCTGGGCTGCCTCAATTGCACAGAAGAAATATCAAGCACCTTTAAGAACAACAAAGGTTTGTTCAAAGCATGAGCTTCTGTATTCCTTGCTACAGTGTGTGTGTGTTTTGTTGGGCTCCTTATGCCAGGGCTCTTTTGGGTGCACCTGGTTCCCTCACCCTTTTCACTGTATTCATGCTCTCATGATCCAGTCTTTCTCAGTAAGAAAGCAATGTGAACTATTTTAGAGGACATAAGAACATAAGAACATAAGAGCCGCCAATGTTGGATCAGGCCAAAGGCCCATCCAGTCCAACACTCTGTGTCACACAGTGGCCAGAAATACCAGTGCCATCAGGAGGTCCAGCGGTGGGGCCAGGACATTAGAAGCCCTCCCACTGTTGACCCCCCCCAAGCACCAAGAAGACAGAGCATCACTTGCCCCAGAGCCCCTAGCTATACCTTGTGGCTAATAGCCACTGATGGACCTCTGCTCCATATGCTTATCTAATTCCCTTTTGAAGCCGTCCATGCTTGTAGCACCCACCACTTCCTGTGGCAGTGAATTCCATGTGTTAATCACTCTTTGGGTGAAGAAGTACTTCCTTTTATCCGTTCTAACCCGACCGCTCTGCAGTTTCATGGAGTGCCCACGAATAACAACAAGCCAGTGAAGTGGATTAGGCTGAGAGTGTGTGTCCAGACCAAGTTCATCCAACACATTTCCTTTGTAGGAAGTTGTAGTTATTTCTCTGGGGAAGAGTATAGTTTTGTAGACAAATACATGGCTCTCAGTCTGTGTCAGGATGCCTTCTCATGTTCTTGATCAGCACATGAAGCAACCTATGTACAAAAGCTCAAAATGCCCAGCCATTTCATGTTTCCCCTTGCGTCATAGGCTCAGAACACTGAGCATGAGATTCCTGTAATGAATGTCAATAAATCAAAAGTAGGTTTACAGTTTACAGATACACACCTGAACAGCATACTCAGGATTGCTACAGCACAGACTTTTTGATGCAGTAATTCAGAGCAAGAGATGTCAGTTATCAGAGACTGTTAGATAGACAAAATATTGAAAGAGTGCTAGTGTTTTAAGCATGCTTTATTTAAGGTTTAAAAACCTTTAATTGTGTTTGTCTGTGTCCTTTATAAAGTTTATATCTTTACTACCTGGCATTACATTTTATGACACACATGGCCTGGCCCAACAAAGTCTCATTTATGTCAGACCCGGCCCTCATAACAAATTAGTTTGACACCCCCGCTTGAGTCTTTCTTGGTGGTCTGCCTTCCAAGTTCTGACTCTGCTATTTTTCCAAGATCTGATGAGATGCGGCTATACCATGCCACCCTCATTCCCAAAACAAGTAATTAGAGAGTAGCAATTAAAAATATTTTTAGTGTTGTAGAAGTTGAAGCTAAGGAGATGTCCCTTTGGAAGATTTTTCTGTTAGCACAAGGGGCTGCCAGGCTGCACACAAGTGGGAGGACCATAGCATACAGTAGTGTAACTGCATATGTTGTTTGCCATCATTGATCACTCGTCTATCCTTTAACCCCCTTTGGGAGATCTGTAGTCTTTTAAGTTTCACTGCATCTGCCAGAACTAATATATATGTTTACCATACCCCACAGAACTAGGCACACTGGTAATGTGGGGGAGGGGTGACGCTCTGGTTTTTGGGCAAAACTCTATGGTTTGAGGGTAATTTTACCATAGAGTTTTGCCCCAAAACCAGAGCATTGCCCCCAATGTCACCGGCACGCTTTCTGGGTGTGTATGCATATCATGCGACATCCTTGCCCACTTCTGGAACGCCCCCCCAATCCCCCCACCAGCACGATGATTGGACTTGGCAACCCTACTAATATATATATATTTTCTTCTTAGATGTCACTCGACTTGGATGGTGAGGAGCACTTTTTGGAAGAGACTAAATTCAAGGAGTATTGTGTAGAATTTATCAAACACTCACAACAAATAGGAGACAGTTGGGAGTGGAGAAATGTAAAGGTACTGGCTATATTTTATTTTCTAACAAAGGTCCCCTAGGTTATCTAGGTCTCTAATGTTCTTTCCACTTATCTCCATTCCACTTCCATTTAGATACTTTGGCTATTGCAAATGTATGCTCTGAGTTGCCTTTTTTGGGTAAAGCTTCTGCTACTGTACCTCAAAATTTATTTAAACTTTTCTGAATTCAAAAAGCAGTTTGAAGATTTGCTGTGAGAGTTTTCTTTTTTAATTTAGGAGCATTGTATAAGAGCGTCTTTTTTCCTTTTACAAAGCTCAATGCTTTCTTTGTTGATCTACTTGTACAGCTTTGGAAATAACTTCACAAAAGTTACTACCCCATCTGCTCATGTATTCCTGTTTATGTAATTTCTGTATCACTTAATATGTCATAAGAATATCTCTGGCTTAAGAGGTATTTCGATATTCAAGATTAACTGTAACAAAGTATGCACTTCAATGCAGAATTTATGAACCTTTTTACATGTCTACCACATATGGTAGTACGACCAAATATGGTTATTGTCAGACTCCCATAGCATCAACGAAGCACACACTTGTAGAAAAGGTTTTACTTTAATTGAAGCAATAAGTGCATAACAGGATCACTGTTCAGAATGAGGGATAAGCATGAAGCCCAATAGATTATAGTAAATTCAAAAAGCTAAGGCCCAATTGCGGGACTTCCCGTGCTCGCCATTGAGCCTGGGAAGCAACGCTTCTAGATAATCATAACACATTTGCTTCTCATGGACATGAGGTCACCCAAGCTACTACCCGCCAGCAACCACCTGTGGCCTTGAGAGATACGAACGTTCCTGCAACTAGGTAATTAAGCGCATTAACAAGCATACATGGGAAAGTGAAAGCAGACAAGCGCATACATAGAGAATAGGAAACACATTGGCAGCTTGCTGACAGTTATTACATTTCCAACACAGTTTTTATACATTTTAGCCAATTTATCTGGGGTTAGATGCCATCTATAGAACATTTTATATAAGTTTTCTTTGAACGAAACAGATTTACTCAACTTAATATTCACTTTCCATATTTTACTCCACTGTGACAGATTGATGTTATAACCCACATTTTGCATCCATCTAACCATACATTCTTTAACTATTTCATCCTGCATTTTCAATTGCATCAACATTCCATACATTTTCTTAATGAGTTTCTTTCTTGAAGTACGTAATAATTTTTCAAATACACATTGTTCTGAATAGAATCCATCTGTCTGTCTGTTTATCCTTACTATATCTAGATTCCACTTGCATTCTAGTCCACCAATCTAAGTTTTTTTCTTTAATTTTTCTTTAATTCTTCTTGAGATTTTAAATTATTTTCATTATCTGTTTGTTTTGAAGTCAAAGTTGGTTGAGAAAAAGCTTCCACTGGATACACCCATCTTTGAATTTTAGTATATATCTGCGGACGAATCTTTTCCCACGTTGTCAGTAATGATCTTCTTATCATATAATTTTTAAAATATTTATGTCCAGAGGCTTTCCCATACCATAAAAAGGAGTGCAATCCCAGTTTTAAACCGTGTCCTTCTAAAGCCAGTAGCCTATGATCTTCCAGTAGAATCCATTCTCACAGCCAAACCAAACGTGCTGCTCTATAATAATTCTTCCAGTCTGGTACTCCAAATCCAGCATTATCTTTCACATCCTGCAAGGCTTCAATTTCATTCTTGGCTTTTTCCCTTTCCATATAAAATTTTGTGTCAATTTATTCCGTTTGTCAAAAAAATTGTTTAATGTATATGAGCAGTGTATGAAATAAAAACATAATAGGTGGTAAAATGTTCATTTTCAAAATTGCTATTCTGCCCATTAGTGATACTTGCAAACTTTTCCATTTCTCTAAATCCTTTTTAATGTCTTGCAACACTTTGTTATAATAATCTTTCATGAGGGAACTACATTTCGCTGTAATATTAATACCCAAATATTTGACTTCTCCAGTTGAAATCCAGTCAACTCTGCTATTTCAAGTCTTTGTTTCAATGTCATATTTTTCATAATCATTTTGTCTTCTGATAGTTTGTTTTCATTCCCGCCATTTTTCCATATTCATTAATCAGATTAATCAGTTGTTGTACAGAATGCATTGGGTCTTCTAAGATAAATACCAAATCATCAGTAAAGGCTGGTAGTTTATATTTATTTCCTCCTATTGATGTCCCTTTAATAAGGGAATCTTTCCTAATAGCTCTTGTCAGAACTTCCAAAGTTAGTATAAACAACAATGGAGATATTGGACAACCTTGTCTTTTCCCTTTTTTAATCCATATATTATCAGTCAGTTCATTGCTTTCTGCTTTGTGTATATAGCTTCGGTCGCCTTTATGACATTAATCCCGAAATCCATTATCTTCATCTGTTGAATAATAAATTGCCAGCTGACATTGTCAAATGCTTTTTCAGCATCCAAAAATATCAAAACCATCTGCTTCTCTGGATGAGTTTCATAATATTCTAAGATAACTAAGACTGTTCTCACATTATTCTTTAGTTGCCTCTTAGGTAGGAAACCTGCCTGGTACTGATGTATAAAGTCTATTAGAACTTTTTTCAACTTAGCAGCCAAAATAGTTGCAAATATTTTGTAATCACAATTCAGCAAAAAAAGAGCTATTTCTTTGCAGACTTCTAAAATCCTAGTGCACTGGTTATTGAATGTCCCATTTCTGTGATTTGTACTGGCTTGCTATTTGTAACCTGCCTTGAGTCCTTGTGAGAAAGGCAGAATATAAATTGCGTGAATACATAATAATTCAAAATAAATTTCTATGGTAGTCAATTTTGAATAGATAGCCTCAGGAAAGGTTAGAACTTTCTTTCTGAAACAAAAGCTTCCCTGCCTGTAAGAGGTTCTTACTCATTGTAGGTTCTGAATCCAATCTTTTTGTAGCCTAATCTTGTACCTGTTCTGAGATAATACAAAGTTGGTTACTTACAAAAACTAATGTAATTCCAAATTTTGAAATAGGGCAGGTTGGAGAATTTGAATTTTTAAAAGGTCAGGTTTCATCTCACAGGAATCAATTTTAGCTTTTGAATTCCAATCCCCAATGAGTATGATTTTGGAGGCTTCCCCACACACATGGTGAATATCAGATATGTTTGGAATGCAGAATTTTAGGGCCACAGTTTACTGTTGTAGAAGGGGATGCCATACTCTCTGCTTCCTTGCATTGTTGAGCAGGTGGAGGCAGCTGGAATTGTGGATACAATATGGATAAATGCTAGGCATACTTAAGTTTGATTGAAATAATTGGGGCATAAATGCATGCTCCATGTTTAATTTAAACATATTAGTCCATTGATTTTAGTGGGAATTAAGAATACCTAAATTCTTCTGACTTGCACCCAATATTAAAGTGGTATTTGTGGTATTTTTTTGGGGTGTGTGTGCGTATCTGCACCTGGAGATCACGTTGACCTCTGGTGATTGACCTCTACGGGGGTCCTGGAGGATATTCAGAGAGGTGGCTGAATAAACCCTGCCTCTGTCCTCTCGACTTGGTATTCCAGGGAAATCTCCCATCCAAGTACTAACCACAGTCAGCCCTGCTTAGCTTTCGAGATCAGACTTGCCTGGGCTACCCACGTCAGGGCAAAGTGGGGAATATTCAATCTTCAAACTGACTATTAAAATTCTACTCCTGGCAGATCCTGGGTTTGTTTCCTACTCTCTCTGCTTAGATTTGGATTGCAGCTATTGAACCTAATTGAATGTACAGCTGCATGTGCAGACAAAATTGGTTTGTTCTACCACAAGTACATTCTGAATTTGGCTTGTTGTGTTTTAGTGGAAACATAAATATAGCATATCAGTAAAAGCAAGTAAGAACAAGGTAATTTTCTCTAAAGTGATCTGTTTTGTGTTTAAATGTTTACTGACAAAAGCTACACATGTTGATTTGTTTCAGGTGCAAACTTGTAGCAACAAAGTGCCGTAATAGCCCATGGCACAAGCCACATAGACTTTTAAAAAAAGATACATATATTTGGAATACTGATTAAAAGACAGAATTAATGTGCTGGAATGAGAGAGACATTGATTTAAAGATCAGAACAAGTGAAATAAATTGTGTCAGAAATGATGGATTATCCAAAGAGTTACATTTATAGTTAAATTTGCAGCCTCGTTGAGTAATTTAATGCTACATTAATGGGTTTTGTACAGAGACTGTTTTGAATAGATTCTCTTTATATCAGATGTTGCACATATGCTTTCTGTGTGTGTTTGTCTAAAATAAAACTTAATGAAACAGCTAATAAAACCCCAATTTGTTTGTGCTTCCTTTGAGAAATAAGCTCTTAATATGCAGCTACCGTTCATTATCTCCTTTGCGTTTCTCTTGCCTTTCAACTGATATTCTTCTCAGTGGTGCTGGCCATGTGACACAGTCAGTTCTTTAACTTTTATTTTGTAAGACTGATTTGTCAGGGACATTTTTCATTTGCTTAGTGGAGCTAGGGTGTAGGAGGATTGTTGCTATGGGTGATAGGGGCACATGCTCCAAGTATACTCCTTTCAGGGATGCAAAATGGACCTTATTTATTAATTTGCAATTTTTATTCTCCACCTTTCTGCCCACCAAAAGAGGCGGCTAACAATTAAAGACAAAAATTATAAAAGTACATCATAATACGAGTAAAAACCAAAACTAAAATACTTCTATAAAACACAAGGATAACTGTTAAAGTAAAAGGCAGGAAAGAGGGGTCACTGATGGAACACCAGACAAAATAAAAAAGTCTTTACTGCTGGTAAGGGATTCCTTCCCTAGGGAAACCTGCCTTCCAGGTAGGACTGAAACCCCTGTGGAATGGTGCCTTGCAGTTGCAACTCTGAAGTGTGGTGCAGAAAGATACTGTGGTTAATGATACTGAAAGCCACTGGGTGTTTCAGGAGGATCAACAGGGTCACACTCCCCAATCCATCTCCTGCCACAGGGCATCCACCAAGATGACCAAGGCTGT